GAGAGAACGAAGTGGAGCCACTCACATTCCTCCATGAAGTTGTCCTCCTAGTCCTCCCGGTCCTCCCGGTCTAGCTACCGCTACAGGACCCATCGGACCCATTGGTCCTGGTCCTGGTCCCATGGAAGGTCCCATCGTAGGACCTAACGAGGAACCTATCAAAGGGTTCATCGAAGGACCAAGCGTAGGTGCTGCAGATGGATTGATTGAAGGACCTATAGGATGAGGGCCTGCATGAGGAGGCCCTGACGTCGGAGGAAGAGGAGGAGGAGGATGACCTGATGATATCGGTTGACCTGGACCTGGCGTCGGAAGATTCGAATGATTCGAGTTCACGCCTGGGTTCGGTTGGTTCGGTTGGTTTGGCTGATTCGGTTGGTTTGGTTGATTCGGTTGATTCGGTTGCCTCGGTTGGCTTGACCCAGTCGGATTCGGGTTCGAAGAAGTCGGATCGGTGTTGGTGTTGGTGTTGGTGTTTGAGGTATTGGACGGAAGAGAAGGAGGGAGGGGTGGTGGGACAGGCATTCCACCTGAGACAGCAGCTCCGCCTGGTGGACCTCCTGGACCTCCTGGTGCTCCGGGGCGTGCATCTCTTGGGTCTCTGGGATCTCTGGGATCTCTCATGTTCATCTCCCTCATCTCCCTTCCGTCTCTTAGATCCCGGATATTCCGTATATCCCGTGTATCTCTCGGATCTCTAGGATCTCTACCATCTCTTGGGTCTCTCATCTCCCTCATCTCCCTTGGGTGTCTCATACCTATATTCATCTCCATTCCTGGACCTATACCTATTCCCATACTACCCATCCCCATACCCATCATCGGATCCATATCCATATCCATATCCATATCCATGTTCATCCCACTCATACCACCACCCATACCACCCATGTCCATGTTCATGTTCATATCCATCCCCATCCCCATATTCATTGTGTTCATGTCCATCCCAAACCCTGGTCCACCCATCGGGCCTCCTCTCATACTACCAGGACCACCGATAGAGCCCATAGAGTCCATATCATTCATACCAGTCTCCATACCATTCATCCTGTTCATCCGATTCATAGCATTCATAGCATTCATCTCCATCCCTTCCATCCCGTCCCCGCCTTGGCCTGGACCGCTCACCATTCGTCTATGAGGAGGGGGCAACATCATATTCGTTTGGTTTGCTTGGCTTGGACCAAGCGGTCCTGGGTGATGAGCCTGCTGCATATGCGGAGGTCCACCGTGAGGTCCATGAGGAGGTGGAGGAACAGGAGGACCTCTTCCACCCATCCCAGGTCCACCAGGTCCCCCTGCAGGCCTAGGCGCGATATTCGCCAGATTCCCTGGTCCCCCCACCGGCATCCCTAGTCCCAGACTCATCCCCCCACCACCAGAAGAAGAAGGAGGAGGAGGACCGGATCCGAGTCCACCTGAAGACTGGGGACGGGGCAGGGGCATCCCTCCTCCTGGCCCACCTCCAAGACTACCCGGTCCACCGGGTCCACCGGGGGGACCGAGTGCACCCTGAGAGGACTGTGGTCTCCCCCCTCCTCCGAGATGCATGGAAGGCATGGAAGGCATGGACATCGACGACGACAGTCTTCCTGGCCCAGGGGGAGGCGGGAGAGCAGGGTTAGGATTTCCGGGATGACCAGGGTGGCTTGGGTGGTTAGGGTGGTTGGGATTATTGGGGTTGTTCATGTGAGATGGATGATGAGGATGATGAGGATGATGAGGATTATTCGAGGAGGAGGATGAGGATGGAGGTCTGGGGAGAGGGAGATTCGTCAACGACGCAGGTGCAGACGAAGGAGGAGGTGGAGGAGGAGGAGGGAACATCCCACCTGGTCCCCCTGGTCCGCCACTTCCAGGCGTACCACCACCTGTCCTCGACGGAGACCTGGACAACGAAAGCCCGCCTGGACCTCCGGCTATCGAGGGCGAACGTAAAGGAGGGAAGGAGAGCGCGTTGGGCGGTTGACCATGACCTGGATTGGGATGAGCAGGTCCTTGTCCTGGTCCTGGTCCGTTGGGAGGTCCATGACCGGGTGCGTGAGGTGCGTGAGGTCCATGAGGGTGGTTGAGTTGGTTAGGGTGATTAGGATGTCCGTGTGCACTACTACTCGACTGAGGTCGACTCGGGGATGGGTTCATCCCGTTCATCGCGTTCATACCGCCCATCGAGCCCAATGCGTTCATTGACCCCATCGCGTTCATCGCGTTCATCGAACCCATGTTGATCGAAAGACCGATGGACGGATCCATCGGGTTCATACTCCCTATATTCCCCATATTACCCATGCTCCCCATATTACCCATATTACCCATACCCATCGAAGAAGACGAAGACGACGAGGACGACGAAGGCGGGTACATGTTCTCGATCATCGGGTTCGGCTGAGGTGGTGAAGATGACGAGGTTGAGGACGAGGAATGGTGGTGGCCTGCTCCTCCTCCTCCTGCTCCTCCTGGTCCTGGTCCTCCCGCTGTATTTTGACTCCCACCGCCTTGAACAGGCTGAGGACCCTGAGCCTGACCTTGGCCCGCCGTGCCCCGATTCAGATTCGAATTCGGCACGATCGGGACGGTGTGTGGGATGTTGGGATTTTGGCTGGGGTGGTTTAGGTGGTTAGGCGTCGGATGGGGATGGGGATGCGGGTGAGCAGAGTGAATCTGATGATCTGGTGGAACGTTGGGAAAGTTGGGGACAGGTGGAAATCGGGGTTGGGTGTTGTGTGTGTTCATGCCTACAAACGAAAATGAGTTAATCAGACAAAGAAAAAGAAAAAAAGGACAAAAAACGAAGAAAAACAACAAGAAAGGTAGGATTATTATTAAAAAAGTATAGAAAAAGAAAGAAAAAAGACTTACGAAGACCGTGAGGAGGGGGATGATCCGACATCTCTCTATGCAGTCTTTGCTGTTGCTGCATCTGCTGATACTGCTGAGCGGGTGTTAAGAACGCTGTGTTCCCTCCTCCTCCTCCTCCTCCACTTCCATTTCCATTTCCATTTCCTCCAGGAGGAGGAGGAGAAGCTCCATTCGACATCCCTCCTTCGTTATTATTATGGAAAAAAATATTCTCCGCACCCGACGCCGCCGACGACGACGAGAGCGAATTCATGATCGGCCTCATCTGCTGCGTACCCTGACCATGACCATGACCATGACCATGACTCTGACTCTGACCCTGACTTTGGGGCCCCCCTGGTCTTCGTACTCCCATTCCACCCATCGCTCCACCCATATTACCCATCACTCCACCCATATTACCCATCGCACCCATGTTGTTCATGTTCATGTTCATGTTCATGTTCATGTTTCCACTACCTCCTCCTCCTCCACCTCCACCTCCCAACCCCATACTCATCCCCATCCCACCCAAACTCCCCATACCCACTCCCATACCCGTCATTCCTCCGATTCCTCCTCCTCCTAAGCTTCCTACTCCGCCTAGACCCGGGGGAGCGTTCGAAGGGTTCGAAGGGTTCGGAGCGTTGGAGGAGGGATTATTCGGTGTATGGGGTGTATGGGGTGTATTCGGTACGTTGGCGTTGGCGTTGGCGTTGGCGTTTGGCGTATTCGGTCCGTTTCCAGCACTTCCAGCACTCCCTGTTCCACCTGGTGGTCCTCCCATTCCACCACCACCACCACCTCCCAATCCCAGTCCTCCTCGTAAATTCGGCGGCGTACCCAGCGCTAGCGCTCCTGGTCCTCCTCTTGGCCCACCTGGCCCACCTGGCATCCCTGGCATCCCAGGCATCCCAGTCCCCATCCCCATCCCCATTCCCATCCCCATTCCAAGTCCATTCGGCATCCCGTTCATGAACCCGCCCCCACCAGGCGGCGACTGCTGCGTTGTCGAAGGTTGTGGTTGTGGTTGATTCGTGTTCATCTAGCTTCTTGTTTGTCGAAACGATTTCAAAAAAAAAAAACAAAAAAGTCGACGAAGATGCGTTTGTGTGTTGTGTTGGTTGGTGTATGGTGTATGGTGTATGGTGTATGTTCGGTGTATCGTGTATCGTGTTCGGTGTGTGTTGTCAATGACAAAAAAAGTGTGAAGCTTGGGTTGTTGTGTTACTGTACCCGCCGTACCGCCGTACCCCTGGTCGTTCGTGTATCCGTTCGTTGTGACTGCACAGCTCGGACTATAACTTTAAGAAACTATAAGAAGAAGAAGAAGAAGAAGAAAACGGAGCACGACGGGTGAGGTCAGATTTTTGAGCTTGCGGAATTTGAAAGAACGAAAAAGACGTTATGGAATGGAGGAAAAGATCACGAACAGCTAGTGAAGGTTCTGAACACGTACCCAGATATATACCCCAAATAGGATTCCTTTCTTCTCCTTCTTCTCCCTTTTTTCGACCTTTCTTCGACCTGTCTCGTCCTAGGACCTATAATCTGTTTGGAATTTCCCCCGTATCGAAATATCCTATCCTAACAACCGACCCTGAATCTGATCCTAAGGCCTAATCCTTTGCCCAACTCTAAAACGTCCACCGTACACTCCAGCGAACTTGTTCTTGTTCTTTTCAGTAACCAGATCCCCCTAGTCGTCTGGGACTCGGGGAGGGCGACGCACAACCCAGGGTCGGGTTCGATTTGAATTTAGCTCCGAATCTCGTCGCTCGAGTCTTTTCGCTGTGGACCCCTCGTCGTTTGAGGCGCCTTTGGTAGTTCTTTCGGGAGTGAGTGAGTTCGCGCCTTTGCTCGCTGTGTTGGTAACGTCAGTCGTCGTTCGTTCGTTCGTCGGTGGTTGCAACGTTGAACGTTCGATGTTGGGTGTAGAATTAGAGTTTGAGTTTTTTCACAGGATGTCGGGCGCTTAACGTTGCACACCAACTGGCAACACCTCAGTCGCCGATGCAGACGTCGTCGTTACATATGTATTCGCTCTTCGAGAATCGGAATGGCTCTCTACCTGAGTCCCTAAGTACATATATAACCCCCCCGATTAACCTCTTGGAAAAAAAAAGAAAGTATAGGTACGTCAAGTACACATTGACAAATGACCACCGCAGGGGTCGAACCTGCAATCTCCTGATTGATAGAGCTAGGTGATCCTACTATCGTAGTCAGACGCGATGCCATTTCGCCAGGCGGCCATAACTTTGAAAGGGTTTTTCATCAGATAGATGGTTACTGATTGGGTACGATCTGTATCGATAATTGGGAGGAGCTCATACTTACTTTAGTTTATAGTTTATCCAAAATACACGCGCACTGCAATGCCAGTTCAACGAGTCGCGACTAAGGTTGGCTGCCTGATCTTCTGCAAGGGCCCATCAAAGTCGTCCGAGATGGATCCGGAAGGGAGTGAGTATCCAGAATAAGGGTTTTTGAGTGAAGGTTGCACGTTGAACGTTGAGAATTGGGTACATACCAAGTGTCTGGATGTTAACGTTAACGCTCACCTTTCAGGCATATTCTTCCAGATGTTTGCTAGGTGCAGTGAGCCACAGATTACACTGTTAGCATAACCGAATCATCGCAGTATGTGTCTGATATTAGCTTCAATACTAATGTATGAAAAACAACCCGACCGTAACCTCATTCGTAGACCTAGCAAGCAAAAAAGTCCGTTCACAACCGTTCCCCCTCCTAACCAACGAACAATCATACTCAGCTAACACCCTTTTCAAGGTCAACTACTTGACCTCGTTTACCTATTCCCGCTCCTACTCCTACTCCTACTCCCACGCCAGCACCCACACCAGCACCCGCACCAACACCCTCCAGCCCAAGTCCAAACACCTGCCTGAGTGGACTTTCTCCACCTTGAGCTTGTCTACCAACCTTGATATCCTCCCTAGAATCATTGTAATACTCAACATCCACCACAGCAGAACCCGAACCCGAACTCGCATTCATCCCCTGTCCACGCGGACGTCGATCCCGATCTCTACCTCGTATATCCGAATCAGCCAATGCATCCACAGCGAGCGGTCTCCGGGAAGACGGGAGACTGTTGATCGAACGAGGACCAGCGTTTGTTCGTTCGTTGTTAGTATGAGTTTGTTGGGCAGTGCGCGAGTCTTGTGGGATTAGCTCAGATCCGGTCGTCGTCGTACGGTGAGGAAGAGGAAGAGGAATAGGAGGGTCTGTGTTTGTTCTCCTCCTGTCAGTCCTCGCACGGGGGGTATACCGTGTCTCTTCAGGATGACGGGTAGCAGTAGCCACACCTTCCCTATCCTTCCTCGTCCTAATTTTGACATACCTCTCACCCCCTCCTCCATACCCATACCCATACCCAGATCCATACCCTACCTTCTTCGACCCATACCCCCTCAACGTACGCACGATCAGAAAAAAATACACCATCCCCAACAAGAACACAAACGTGATCGCCACCCTCGGTCCCAACTCCGCTGCATCACTCAACGGCGGACGATCTTGTGGATCGGAGGAATCCCCGGTTCGCCAGACGAAGGAGAGGATGGAGAGGATGAAGAGGATCATGGACCATGACATCCATATGGCGGGCATGGCGAGGAGCACCCAGACGTTCCACCAGAGGAGGGTTTTGGTTTTTTGGGCTTCCTGTAATGGAGGGGAATCAGAGAAGATGGGGAATGGAGTGAGTGAGTGAGAAGAGGGTTGATGTGGATAATGGGAGCACACACCTCAGCCCAGATCGAAGCACGATACATACTCCTCATCGTCCCAAACCGTACAATATAGATACACCCATACGAAAGACTCATAATTGCACATATCAACGACAACAAAGCAGCAGTTCTAGTAAGCGGATCCGTCTCCGCACTGTCGATTTGGAACATAGTCAAAATAGCACTGTACATCGAATGTTGTTTGCGTTTTCATCAGTTCCCCTGTTGTGGACAATCAAGAAAAGGCAGAACACGCACGATAACAATAAAGCAGAGACAACATTTAACGTCTTCCATTCCCGCATCAGCGAATCAATGAAAGCTTCCCAAGAAAGTTTGAAGCGTATTAACGAAGGTGATACCAGAGGAAACTTCCAATCTTCCGGCAATGGAAGCGGAAGGTCAACCACAGACGCCGCCGCCGCTGCTGCCAAATTCGACGCAGCAGATGTTGGGCCTAAGCCTCGCGCGCTAGAGTTGATAGTAGCATACAACGAACTCGGCTGGGCTTGAGCATTGTTAGCATTATTAGCAGGTTCCTGTCCTACCGGTATCGCATTTGTCTGGGTTTGTTGTTGTGGTGGTGGTGGTAAGAAATGACTCCCGCCTCTGCCACAAGCCTCGACCATGCGTTGGATATCTGGCTTGCTGACCTCTGCGTCTTCGAATATCCGTGCCACTCGCGAAAAGTACATCGAGGGGATGCGTAAGAGCAGATGGAGGTATATTAGCCGAGGAAGGGTGTCTAGAAAGAAGATTTGCAGCATACGCCAGTCCATCGTGGAATGCACATGAACGTCGCCAGGTTTATGTACGTCCGGGGCGGACGCTGCTGTACCGTTCCCTTCTGAACGATCCTCGTTCAGATGATGAGCAGCCGGAGTACGTTGAGGATGTACATTCGCTTGCATAGGAAGACCTTCAGCCTCCACGTTATCAAGCTTATACCCAGGTAGGCGTTTCCGTATCCACATTGGTAAAAGGGAGCCTGAATGAAACGTGAACAGAAACTGTGACTGGAACGGATCGACCGGGATGAACGGTTCCTCGTGGTGATGAGGGGTATGCGGTCGATGATGTATACCCTGGGACCATTGCTGGAATATTCGAAGAGGGGAAGCCGCCCTCGAGGGTGAATGCGAGGGAGATCGGGAGCCTACATCACGATTGTGATCGGATTTGATATTATAGTCGCCATGGACAGCATATGAGGATGCGGTAGGATCACTACCTCGGCGAAGTCGATGTAAAACTGAAAAAGAGTTTAGGGTATATGTCATCGACAGATAACTCGATTGAAATTCACCTTGTCTAACGCTCTGCATCGTAGGCAAAGACGTTCTATCACTATCCATCGATGTCTTCCTGGACGTCCTACGATCATGGTCAATCGATCCTTCAGACGCGCTGACCCTCGGACGCCTCGTATCTTTCCCGGACAAAAATCCGTGGTCCGCATCCGAACTGAGCGTTGGGCTAAACCCGGCGAATCCTTCCATATTGTTGCTGAGAAGTCCAGACTGGGTTATGCTTGGCCAAGATCTGGAAGCGTCCAGGCTGTGTCTGAACATTCGAGGAGAGTGACCATGAGTGTTCATGTTCATCATGGGAGAACGCGCGCCGTGTCCGCGATTGAGGTTCGGGCTTGTCATCGAGGGAGGTAGAGCAGAGAGTTTGTCAGAAGATGTTAGATGAGTTGTAGCGTTGGAATCTATAGATGATGATGGGTAGGTACAAGAAGAATGCAGCTGAGGATCGAGATGAGGCTTACCAGGCGAAGTGGATGAAGGATCTCCAGTTTCTCGATCCGAGAATGTAGGAAACAGCATTGAAGAAGGACCGGATCCTTCCTCAGCTGTATCTATCTGCGCAGGCTGTTCGGTGGAAGTCATCAGGGTATGCGATTTTCGTGTTGATACGAGATGGCTTTATATATGCGCTCTGTGTTTGCTCCGCGGGCTCCTTCTTCTCCAGCTTCCATAAAGATTATACAAGCACAGACAGACGTTGTAGCAAGAGGAGAAGAGTGTGCATGTGAGAGTCCGTGCTCGGTCAAGCTACATGAAGGAGAACGTCAAAAAGGGACTAAAATGGCACGGTCAGAAGTTGAAGCTTGCGAGAACAACGCGTGACGCAATGACCCGTAGTGGCCGGCGGCTAAACAAGCGCTAGCCTTCATGCGAACTTTATTCGGAGCCACATCGTAATCCCAAAAACTGCAACATCCACGCTAGTTTCCTCGACCTTCACAGCTCTCATACGTTCATTGGACAGGTATGTTGAGTGTTATCATTGAATGTACAGCAAATATGTTTCTATGTCCATGCAATCTCAACTTCTCTTCTCCTTACATTTTTTCGCATCACGGTCTCTAGATCGCGGAACAGTGTACTTAAGTCTTGACGATACAGTAAGGACAGGGCTTCTTCCCCTCATGGGAATTTTCATGGTCTGAAGCAATTTTTCAAACTTGTTAGTAGGTGTCTTCGAACATGTAATCTGTGTGCATTTACTATGAATGTGGCTTTGTCAAAAGTCTTTTGGGATTAAATATTCAACTTTCACAGAAGATATCAAACGAAAGTTGTTTACCTGTAATAGTTCATGGCCGCAGGGATTCCACTAGTGGAGGGAGCCTTCTCTCTTCTCTCTCTCAGTCTCTTCCTTGAATATGCTCTGGATACAAGCGATGGCCCCCCTTGTAGTACATATTTACACAACTTCTGAATTTGAGCCTCTGCAGATAGAATCAATGATCTATTCTGGCTGTTACTTCGCGATACTCTAGATTGGTGCTCCTACTAACATCGCTCTGCTAGACAGAATCCGAGTGAGTATCCATGGTCATGCTTGAAGACCTTCAAATTTCGCAATGGCATGACATACACGAAATGCGATTTCTCTGGGTGCTGAGAGTCATGCATCATAATCTGTTATGACTCTGTACGCTCGTGTTCCAGAAAAAAAACATTTGGAATAATACGCCTGGAAACATACATATGGTTCGTAAGTCCTCAAGACCTCAACGTTCAACGTAACATTCAACCTCTACTCAAAAGCCCTTATTCACTCCCTCCCATCTCGGATCCCTCCGATGAGCCCTCAACAAATCATGCGGCCAACTCGCAGGCGGGGCTTTGCCCTCTGGCATCCGACTGCTCAGAGCCTGCTGCACCACAGCATCCACAAGCACCCTCTCAATATCCATTCTCTCAAACTCTGCCTCGGTTTCTCTCTGTAGTCCTTTTTTCCCGGCGATAGAGCCTCGGTTAAAATCACTCAACACCGCCAACCTCACGACCCTAACCATCCCACCCATCCGCTCGGCAATCTGAGGAGTGGTGTGTAAAGCGATCGCGCGCCAGACGTGGTCGATGTCTTCGTTTGAGATGGAGAGCTCTTGTTCTGGATTCGACGAATCACCATCACCGCCGGATGCTCTGGATCTGATCTCTCGCAAGAGTGAAGCAGCTGCATCTGCACCCTCGATCTCGAAC